GCCTGATGTAAGACATAATATATGATGCAGGGATCCCAGTTGGGAATAAAAACAAAAATAGAGGAAATGGAAAATATCAGCTGAGGGTTAAGAGGACCATGGCCTCCCAGGTGGGGGAATATGGGGAGATTGTTACCATATCAAGATGCTTCGGAAGTCATTTCTTAAATAGAAATCTTTTCATCCCTCAAACCAATTTTTTAGCGGTATTATTCAAATAAAAAAAAAAAGAATTCCTGTAAATAGAGCAAGTCTGGGATCCCTAAATCAATTCTTTCATAGCAATAAAATTATACATCATTCCATTTCATAGTGAACAACAAGAAACAAAAAACATCAAAGAAAAGATTGTTAGAAATAACTCGAATTCACAGCAAACTTTACAAAAGTAATAAAAACAAAATAAAAAATCCTGATAAGGAAAGAAAAACTGAAGAAGACTTGGATGTTAGAAAAATCAAAAAGGAGAATCAGAAGAGCCATAAAACTTCTAAAGAGAATGTTGAAGCAACAATCAATGTTAAATCAGCAAATCAAATCATAGAAGATTTTATTGGACAAATGGTTGAAACAATAAGCTAAAACATAGAATCAGGATGTATACAGTAACAGTGGCAGAGCCAGGTATAGGTCCGAGGGTGGGGGGAAGGGGGGGCGAAATATCTGAGATTGCCAGGATTTCTATCCTAATTATGAGAATTTGCCTGAAAAACTTGCTTTCGGGGCTACCCCCTCTTCGCCCTACCCCTGGCTCTGCCACTGTACAGTAATCTGATTGGTTAAAATCTTGGGGATTGACCAATCAAATCACTGCAATGCTAATATCATCTTAGTTAGGTTTTCAGAAAATTGACTGATAAAAATTAGTTTGGATCTGTCATGCCTGATTAGTTACGATTTAGGAAACATAATCAGACAAACCTCCTTGTGCCATCATCTACGATTCGTAGATACCCACTTTCAGTATCTGAGGCGTAAGATATCTGCTGAACTGGGCCTTCTTGTTGGATGTTGTAGCTGAAGAACACAGGTTTTAAAATGATATGGTTGTGAGATAATGAGAAATTGATCATGCTATGGTGATTTATAATTTATAAACTTTGATAAGCTAAGTGAAGTATTTTAATTCTCAGCAGTAGGTTGAGATAATTTTGCTGGATAATGTGGACTTTCGTTTTTCTCCTGTGGATTTTGATTGATGGCTTAATTATTTTGACTAATATTTCCAATGACTTTAAAATTTTCAAGAAAGATTGAAAAAGGTAATCACCCAGGTCCAGGCATATCTCTCACAAAGACTGGTTGTCTTTCTTGAGGTCGAGACTTCGGCTGTCTCTGATCTGGAACAATCTGAGGAACGAACATCTCTTCTGGCATTTTCTGAGGTTTCTGAGGAACAAATGTCTGCTCAGGCATCTTCTGAGGTTTCTGAGGAACAAATGTCTTCTCAGGCATCTTCTGAGGCACGAATGTCTGTTCAGGCATCTTCTGAGGCGAATGTCTGTTCAGGCATCTTCTGAGGTTCTGAGGAACAAATGTCTGCTCAGGCATCTTCTGGGGCTTCTGAGGAACGAATGTCTGCTCAGGCATCTTCTGAGGCTTCTGAGGAACAAATTTCTGCTCAGGCATCTTCTGAGGTGCAAAAGGAGCCATCACTGGAGCAGCTGGTTTCATCTCCTTTCGAGCAACTTGAGGCGACACAGGTGCACTGACTGGCCTAAACTGTTTTTTCTTAGGCATTGGAGATGCTGGCATGCTTGCTGGAGCTCTCGGCACAGCTTGTTGAGGTTCTTCAAATCTCTTCTTGGCATCTTGGACAGATTGAGGAACATATTCCTCTTCTTCCACCTCCATGGGTTCTGGTTCCCCATAAGCTGCTGGTGGAATTGGTTGTTGAGGTTTGGGTGCCTTGTGAGGTGAAAACGGCTCTTGGACTGGTGTTCTGTGAGGAAATGTGTAAAACGATCAATTTAATTTGTTTTACGAAGGTGACACACATACATTCTGATTTTAGATTATGACAAAATAATGATATAATGATTCCTATGATTTAAATGCATGTTAAAAAAATGAGATATCAGGGTTAAATGATATTTTTAAGCGAAGAGAACAAGAAAATGATTCAAGAGGTTAACACTATGGTTTATAAGCATTAATCACAAACCTTTTAAAATCAAAAGAGTCATCAGTAGTAGAGAAAACAGAACTCATAAACGACACATCATGATCAATTGGTGTAGAGGTCAAAGGTTGAAGGTCAAAGCTAGGAAAAGGTTAACACAAACATTTAAAGGTACAACAACAACTAAGTTTAAAGCTGGTAACAATTCAATTCATATGTACGTAGACTGTACATTTGAAAATCAGACGACAGATTATTTTCAGGGTGAATGTCAGTCTCATAAATTTCACAGTTATGTACTTTACTGCTAACCGTTGAGCTTGATTTCTATATTGACCTTGTTTACATTTGAAAACATGTTTGAACTTTTTGCTTTTAATTTTCATACGTTGATATCAGTGATTTTTTGATAGAAAAATGCATCATGGTTTCTGGCTTAAATATGAATATGTATATATCTGTTAGATTATTAGATAACTGAATTAAGATACATAGGTCTACTTATAACCAATATCATATAAACATTTATCTTTTTCTAGTAACTAAATAGTTAAATAAAATAGAATTGGATTGTGCGATTACAGGCTGTAACTGTTAAATATAGGAATTATATTTTCTTCTTCGGGTTATCTTTTGTTAAAATACACCATTGACACGAAAGTTACTTTAAGGGGTGTGGCCTAGTAACGCAACTGAAAATACTTCATTCATAAAAACATATTAAGGGGTGTTGAATGTTAGTGGTCTGTAGGATTAATACTCTACAATGGGTGTATATTGCTATCATGCTTTGTTATGGAATTTGTAACATGATAGGGGCGCACTGAAATACAACTAATACAGAAGTGTATATCAGAGAACAGTGCCTAAATTTTTCAAAAATCATATGATCTAAATATATTGCAATTGAAAAAGTATTTTCAAGACAAAAGTTGATAGTATAAGATACTAAATTTACAAAATATTTTCTCTGAACTTGATGGAAGTTATCATACACCAGGTTAGTTAAGGATGTTGACATAGAAGAGGGCACAATCAGTTATGGGTAGTATCAAAATAGCATTCAACCAATGATGAAGGGCAATTGAATATATGAACCAATGAAAAAAGAGTACATAATCAGTCATATCACTGAGCCAATGTAAACAAACCTCTGATCATAATGGGGTGATCCACTGGTCAAATCAGACGTGAAGTTTATATGCTGAACTGGTTGTTGACGATTAATCTTGTAATGACTGAATAGAAATGGAATGAAATGGAGTTTTAAACCTTAATGTTTTTAGTGACTGACTGAATGAAAGGAAATTTTTGATGTTTCACTTCGTTTAATGTTTTGGCAAATGATGAAATGGAATGAAATGAAATAGAGATTTACACCCTGATGTTTTGTGACATAATGAAATAAAATGAAGAATGATTAATCATGCCACTATTAACAATCATCTAAATATTCTAAAACTAGTTAATCATAGAACTAAATCTTATACAGAAGTCAAATAGACTCCCTACCACTTCAAATAACACTTTAAATTCTTCCAGCAACAAAGACACACAAGGTGTCACATATTGGAGCTCAACTATAAAAGTTCATAGAATATGATGTCAGCTTTCACTAAATGAGACAGCAAAACTTGTATTTATTTCTGAAATCTTAGAGTTGTAAATTTTCAGAAATTTTCTTTTTTCAAACACATCTAAGGTCATGCATAGGTCATGCTGTAACACTGTTTGCTAACCTTGCTGCATCCTCCTCACGAACGAGCCGCAAGGTGGCGCTATCACCATCTTTAACGTAAGATATCTGTTGTACGGGACCCTCCGATTTAATATCATAATGCCTGGTAAAACATAGTAATTAATATAATAATGTTTGGTGGAGGGAGCTAATATATCAGGTCGAATTAGGACAGAACATGTAGATTCCTAATTTAGTTCTGAAATCCTAGCCATAACAGATTCAGAAATTATTTGAAAACCCCAGTCAGTTTCTTAAAAAATCTTGGCTTATGATAATTTTACATTCCAGTGATCTGATTGGACAATTCATAAACTTAATCTTAAACACAGTTTTATTAACCAATCAGATTACTGTACTGTATTTCTAAGTTTTTGAGAAACTGGTTGGGGCACTTCAATTCTAATAATAATAGAGCGACTCAACTACATTGTATATATATATAAAAAATTGTGAACTTGGCATGACATCTCTTAATACTCAGTACTTAAAGAAAGTAAAGAAATAATACTAATATAGAAACTTTCAAGCAGTTTGTCTTCTATCTTACCTAATCTGAAATAATGTTAAAAAGAAAACCTTTCTGTAGAATATAACTCACAAGTGATCAAACCAAGGGAATTAACCCACCATAACTTCACCACTGTATTATCTGAAACTGAAGATTTGAGTATAAAATTATTAACTTACGGAGAGGTTACTCGTTGTTGAGGTTCTGGTAAAATTTCAGGAGCAGCTCGAGATGGAGCTTGTTGTCTAGGAATTTGTCTTGGAGCCTGTTTTCTTTCATCCACAGGCTTTCTGGCAGATACTGAAATATAAATACAGGATTTCTATAATTATACAAGACAAACCAGAAGAGATGTGCATGGCTTTTGAAAGGGATGGCAATGGAGCTCTAAGACCAACCAGGTTTGTGTTCTTGAAAATAGCACTTCCATTGCCCTTCATATGTAAATAATGTGGTACAGCCCTACATATCATTTTTAAGATTCAAAATGTGAAAGCAATATGGCATTCTAACTCTTATCTCAGTTTGATACTTGAAATACATCTTAAACCGGTGTCAACTGTTATCATAAAATAGTGACTAGTTCACAGGAAACACAATATGAAGATAGCTGGTTCTGCAGAAGTATTTTAGATACGAAAGGGCAGCTCAGTTGAAGAAGAAGCATGGTGTCTCTGAGCACTTGAGAGGCACATCACACTTCCCCATGAAACCAGCTGTCCTGATGATGGCTTAAATATCCAAAACATACCTTGAACAACAAGTTTAGCTCTAGTTGTAGCACTACCAGAAGTATTAGCAGCTGTACACTGGTACCAAGCAGCATCTGATAGTTTAGTATCTTCAATATACAGAGCCGATCTTCCACCCTCTGTATTTACTCTGTAATATAATTGTGAACCATTTGATTAGAATTTTGTTACATAAATAATAACTACCATATATTTGTGAATATTGTTCTCAGCCATACATTGTCCATCTACGTTTTCTCCAGACACTGTCACCTTTGGTAGAGTCTTCACATAAAACTCACACCACACACTTTAGTTTTAATATTTACACAGCTCTGATTACAATAACTGATTGGTAACTGATTTGGATTGGTAACAAAACCTCAAACTTTGTATTAGATCACTTTGTATTAGACCACTTTGTATTAGATCACTTTGTATTAGATCACTTTGTATTAGACCACTTTGTATTAGATCACTTTGTATTAGATCATTTTGTATTAGATCACTTTGTATTAGATCACTCTGTATTAGATCACTTTGTATTAGATCACTCTGTATTAGATCACTTTGTATTAGATCACTTTGTATTAGATCACTTTGTATTAGATCACTTTGTATTAGATCACTTTGTATTAGATCACTTTGTATTAGATCACTTCGTATTAGATCACTTTGTATTAGATTACTTTGTATTAGACCACTTTGTATTAGATCACTTTGTATTAGACCACTTTGTATTAGATCACTTTGTATTAGATCACTTTGTATTAGATCACTTTGTATTAGATCACTTTGTATTAGATCACTTTGTATTTGTATTAGATCACTTTGTATCAGATCACTTTGTACTAGATCCTACGTAAAGTAAAGATATAACCTTTCTTACATTCAGTTGTCTTTTTTCACAAAATGTTTTGCCAACCCTTCAGTTACCTGTTATTTTGTCACAACAAAATGCTATGAAACACTTCAAACTGTTTTGTTTCCTTGTTTAGGGGCTGATTTAGATAAAAACTACATACCTCATGTCATGTGTTGGAGTGACGTGGTGTCCGTCTTTCTGCCATGACATCAAAGGAGTTGGCATGCCAACAGCATGACAGGACAGAGTTACAGGGTTACCCTCTTTTACAGTGAAATTCTGGACCCTTTCAATAAATCTGGGGGGTTGTTTCTCTTCTTTCGCTGTAAAAAAAAACAAACAACTTCATCATTTATTGGTTAAGGATGCTCCAGAGAAGCTATTGTTGTTCCAGTTGTTCCAACCAACTTTGTGATTTGGCTATGAATGGATTTACTCAATGAAGAAAAACTAAACTGTTAAAGAAATTGAGATTCTCCACTAGGATGAAGCTATTTCCAAACAACTTTGTGAATTGGTTCCTGATGTATTTATTTGCTACCAAGCCACATTATTAATTTCTGGGTTGCTTCAGCATCCCAAATTTCCAGTTGTGATATTGATATTTGGCATAGGGGACTATTTTTGCTCAATCTCATTCAAATTATAGATAGCAAGTTGAGGATTTTTTTTCTAAATGTTTGAAGGAAAATCAGGAAAATTCAGTTTGAGATAAAAAAAAACCTTGTATAGTAATTATTCTAATGGAGCTCAAACTGAATAAATCCTAGAGTAGAATGTAAACTAAGTATGTTATAGCAAGAGACTTGAATAAATCATAGAATAAGACTTAGATAAAGCCTGTCCTAGCAAAAGACTTAGATTAGGGATGTCTTAGCACAAGACTTAGATAAAGCCTGTACTAGCACAAGACTTAGATTAGGGATGTCTTAGCACAAGACTTAGATAAAGCCTGTCCTAGCACAAGACTTAGATTAGGGATGTCTTAGCACAAGACTTAGATTAGGGATGTCTTAGCACAAGACTTAGATAAAGCCTGTCCTAGCACAAGACTTAGATTAGGGATGTCTTAGCACAAGACTTAGATTAGGGATGTCTTAGCACAAGACTTAGATAAAGCCTGTCCTAGCACAAGACTTAGATTAGGGATGTCTTAGCACAAGACTTAGATTAGGGATGTCTTAGCACAAGACTTAGATAAAGCCTGTCCTAGCACAAGACTTAGATTAGGGATGTCTTAGCTATCTTAGATAACTTACGTGTGACGTTAAGAGTAATAGTAAATCTATCTTCACCAGCTTTATTCAGAGCTAGACAATTATAGGTCCCGGCATCTCGTCTCGATACAAACTTTATAATTAACGAGTGGATACCATTCTCATTTACAACAATCTACAAATAACAAAAACACATGTTTATTAAAAGTTAATAGTTTTTTAATTTCATAAAACCACAATTGAAAGACACACTAGTCAGAAGGAGTAGTTCAGCAAGAAATTGTTAACTGTAAATTGTTGAAACAGTGTGTCAAATAAAACAATAAGAATCCAATACAATGGCATTTCGTTAAAAAAACATCAGATGCTTTTAATCTGATGTCTTAAGAATTAATCCAATAAGAACAGTTTCTTACCTTATGGTTATCATCCCTGTGAACCAGGATGCCGTCTCTATACCAGTCTAATTCTGGTGCAGGTCGTCCAGTCACAAGACAGTCAAACCTGACAGTGGTACCTTCTGATGCTGTTAAATCATCAGGAATCTTTTTGAATTGTGGTGCTGCAGGAGCATCAAAAACTCCTCCATCATCTGATACTTTACCCTTTTTACCTCTCTCAGAATCTCTAAAATTAAAAACAAGAAAGTCATTTATGATGGACTAAAAAGCTAAATGCAAACTAAAGATCATTGTTTCTACAGTATTTCCCTTGGATAATTAAATTTTGAACCCTGATAATATAACAATTTGTTGTTTAATATGATACAGCATCAATGTGAGACTGCCTGAATTTGAAGGGTGGCTCAATTGATGAGTTCTGATACAGGGTTCAGAACACCTTCAACATGTGCTGAAAAGTAGTAGACGCAGACAGAATTCCAAATGATTCAGAAGGAAATAGATGAGAAGAGTTTGAATGTGACATATTCCGCTTCCATACCATTCGACTGGCGACAGAATTATAACAGACAGAACCTGCTCAGAACTCTTCAATCGAGAACATAATACATAGAATAACAAAATCCAGAAGTCCAATGAATAATTTTCATGAGCATTATAAATCCAGCGAGAAATGATAGATTGACAGTAACTTTGCCTTTTTATCATACCTCTTAAGCATCTTTTTCAGGCTCTCAGGTTCCATGAAAGAAGTAGCATCAATGTTGCCGAGTTTATCAACGTAAAGTTGGGCAGAGGTGGTGGCTTTACCGACTGAGTTAACAGCTAGGACAGTGTAATATCCAGTATCTTCTGGTAGAGTGACTCGAATCTTCAATACACTCATATTATCTTGTCCGTACGTTATATCATAACGATTAGATTTCTTGATACGTTTTCCATTTCTATACCAAGCAATCTGAAATATAGTCAATGTTTGAGTATTATTTATCTCGCTGGCAATTTTTTTGTGAAAGAAACTTTATATTTAGTGTACCTCAAAATTACAATATGTATAATTTGTTGTCAAGTCATGTGATGAGAGCATTTCATAAAAGCACCGTCCTAACGCAAAAAGGGTCTGAAGGTTATTGGGATAATGACATCAATTCAAGCTCTAAAACTTATTTTTTGCACTAATAACTTTCAGGACTTGACTTTTTGTAACTAGTCATAACTTAAGACAACAGTACCAGAAGAAGAAATTGCCAGAATAAAACCTTACCTTTGGTCGTGGTTTTCCCATAATTTTACAGACAAATGTGGCATCACCACCTTCAATAAGTTGTGTATCGTTTAACTGTTGTAATATTTCTGGAGGCTGGGTGTTGATGACTCTTTCTTCAGGTTGTTCAGAATCGTATTCTGTTTCTGTTTCACTCATCATCTTAATCTTCCCATCACGATAATTTATCTCTTCCATTAATTTTCTCTCAAACCCAGACACGGTAAATTCCTGTAGAATAAAAACAGATGTAAATACTAAAATAAACTTTTCTGGAACAAATGGCATGAAGGCAATATACATGTGTTACTATTAACCCTAAATCCTGAAAACAATATCAACTGAACATAGTCTTTGTTTCTAGATCTATGACACAAGGTGAATACAGACATCAGACGAAAACTACCATATTATCACACAAACAACATCATAAAAACTGACTAGGCTAGAGTACAGTACAAGAATTTGAATCTTTATGCTTTTCAGGAGTCGAAGTTCCGATGACGTTTCAATATAAAAAACTTACAGAGTCGCTGACGCCAGCAGACAATGGTTCATCAGGTTGTGCTAACATTCTCTCTTCTGATCGTCTGTCAATCAACTTCTCTGTTGGTGTTCGGTAAAATTCTTTCTCTGGTTTCTTGGGAGCTTGAGCTCGAGCCAGTATCTCTTGTACTGGAGATAAATCTGACACTAATGGTTCATCTTGAACTTTACGAACTGGAAATATTTTTAAATCACAATAAGATCCATATTGAATAATTATTATGTATTCTTAACACTTTCACAATTCTTGAAAACTAGTAACAAAATTTAGGACAAATAATGAAGGTTTCAAGCCATACAACCTTCTATATATTAGGGACAGAATAACATCATATGCCTGGTCAAAGCTCCCTATCATGTAGACAAATCCAATAAATTTAAAGTTAGCCATATTTTGAAGATGTCAATGCAACAAAATTTAAAAAAATTGTGGTTAAACCAGTCAGCAAGATCACTCTTTCTGCTAAGTCCAGAGTAGTTACATGATCACCATCACCAAGAATATCACAAACAGTGTTTAACCTACCCTCTGGAAGTATTTCAGCTTTAGTATTACATTCTCCACCAGGATTGGCAGCGTGACACATATATTCTCCCACATCATCAGAAAAACTTTTAGAAATCATAACAGAACATCGACCAGTTCTAGAATCATTGTTAATCTTGTGTCTGAAATAAAAACCAGCAAAAATATTAAATTAATTTGGAATTATTAAACCTTCTACCATGTTGTTTTGAAAGGTAGATCACTTCCCTGCATAACTTATTGACAAATTGATCACTTGGCAACTTCCATCAAATAAATGGTCCATGACAAGAATTTATCTTTGCTATAAAGTACAGCATGAGTACATATAACAAAACACAAGACAATATTATGGTATATAACACACTTCTTTAATAAGATTAGGCACATAACGTTTCAACACAATATACACGTGCCGTCATGAGAATAAAACATAACAAAATACATTACATCTGATGACGACACGTGTATAATGTGTTGAAACGTTATGTGCCTAACCTTATTAAAGAAGTGTGTTATATTCCATAATATTGTCTTGTGTTTTGTTATATGTGCTCCTCGCTTCTATATTTCGTTCAAATCTTACAGCATGAGCAACACAACTGATGACAACGAAGCGGTAACTGTGATTGTTTGGTCATTGACTAAATTTACCAATTGATAAGATTCACCAGTTGCTAGTAGTCATTGAACACTCAGTTGCTGTTAGATTCTGGCAAACAAAACGTCAACCTTGTATTCCCCCCTGTATGTCTTTTATCACACTTATTAGGAACCTATCAAATCTGGTGGCAGATGAATAAAAATCCATACAAGCAAAGCAAATTCATTGATCAAATTCTCATTCAAAGCATGGCAAAATTGATAGTAAAAGTTTTATAGCAGTGGACTCCTCGAACAACTACCTTATAAATATTTCCATGCTGGAAGGGACCATAGCAGCTGTATCAATTGTAATCTGAAAACTGAAAGATCATACATACCTTGGACCTTCGAAGACTTGTTGTCCATCTTTCACCCAGGTTATCTGTGGGAATGGTTTACCAATAACTCGACATTCCAGTTTAATATTGGTACCAACCACCATTCTTGTGTCTTTCAGTGGTTGAACGAATGATGGGGGCACAGTTATAGGTGCTGGTTGTGGAGGAGGTGGAACAAATGCTGGTTTCTGTTGGGTCTGTTGAGTTGCTGGTGTCACACTTTCTGCTACTGGCTCCATTGGTTCAGCTGAAATAAAATCACAGATTTGGATGAACTTTTGATAAGTTAGGTTTTTAATAAATAGACATTTTGATAGAATTATTTGAGAATATAGTATTAAGTAACAAGAAAGAGATGTTATTCAAATAAATGGTATCATGGATTTTGCAAGAATAGCTGAGAAGGTTGGTAGTTATGAGCAGGGCTGAATGACATATAGCTTTTTTCAAATAATAGCTTTTGGATTCATTTAACGAAAAACAAGAAGTACCAACCTTCGACTATGAGATGACACTCAGTAGTTTTAGAATCAAGAGCATTAGAAGCAACACATTTAAATCTACCAGCATCTTCTGGGAAGACTTCTATAATAGTTAATCTGTGTAGGTTCTGAGAGTAAGAGATTTCATAATCTGGGGAACTCTCTACTGGCTGGTCGTTTCTAAACCAGCGAATGATTGGTTCGGGATATCCGTGAACTCTGATTTCAAATGTGACAGATTCTCCCTCCTTTACTCTCACATTATTTAACTCCTGAAAAATAAAAACCAAATAAACATTAGGCCATACAAAATAAATAGACTGATTGTTGCCTTAATATTAAATGTAACATAAAATTTGTGGTAATAAATAATAAATGCTTTCGCTTGCTCCGATTTATTCCAGTTGAAAATCTAAAAAAAGCGCTTATAAATAATAAATAATAAGTTCGCCCTCTCGTCTCGATTTTTGAAGAAAAAGGCCTGTAAAACAGACTATTTATTTTGTATGGCCTTAGTTGAATAAAATATTGAATAAATGAACCCTATAATTCCTTAAAGCAAAATATCCTCATAACCTCCTTCATTACCCTTAACAAATCCTAGATCTTTAAGATGCTACAAAAAGGAATATTTCCCAAATGTATTTTGGTTGTGAAAACATACAATGAAGTTAGAAATAAAATAACAGAATTTAAAATCTAACAAACACAAAAAAATAAAATATATAAATCATAACAAAATATGCAGATGTTTCAAGATGGATTGTTTCAAAAATGTAATTTCTATGTGAAAGCGAAAAGTGAAATTAAAGATGCTGAGTTGAGAAACTCAGTCTGTGAGTGGTAGAGTGGTAGAGTGGTGCAGCAGGGTGACCATTCCCCGGAACTTAGTGATAATCATTAAACCAACTGGACTTTCAAATACAAAAGTCTTGAATCTGAGAAATATGAAAAACATCATCACCTGTGAGAAATAAGGTACACTCTTTTGAGCTGGAGGCTGTTCAGGTTTCTTGGCCATTTTAGGGGGTTGTGATTTTGGAAGTGGTGGAGGCACATCTGTTTCTGGGAAAATATTAATCCTCTTTTCAAAGATTGGTATATCTTTGCCTTCAACTTCCATCTCCACTTCCTGTCGGTAATTCTGAGGTTCCAAAGTTGGTGGTGCAGTTTTTTGATATTTTGCTACTTTAGCCATTGGTGATTCCTCTTCTGGGAATCGTCTTGGTGATTTGGCACCAGGAGCTTTAGAAGCTTCGAATGGTTCCAGTATAGCTCGTCTTTCTGGTTCTCTTGTTACTGGGGTAGTTGGTATACCCAATGGTGGTGCTGGAAAGACAGAAACCTCTATTTGAGATGTGAAACAATTGATAAGCTGAGAAGAATTTTGAAAGAATAGAATACACGGCAGATTTTGGATCATCTGTTGGATGATATCAAGATATAACTTTTTCTTCTTTTTCTCCTTTTTCTATCAGAGAAGTAAAATTCATTGACAAGACAAATTTTTTAGGATTAGAATAAACAGCAGACTTTGGACCATCTGTTATATGCTACTTTTTCTTCATACCAATTAGCCCAAGAGGCACGGACATTAGCATGTGTGATTCCATTTATTCATTTTCAAATAGCAAGCATATACAGTCAATCCACAGGTCATGTTTAATAGTAATATATTTTCAAATAAATAAACCCAGTACTAACAACCCAAACCATAAAACGAAACCCGAAATCCAAACAACATAATGGCAAAACATTTGTAGCAGTTAATGAACTGTTCACATGAGGAAGTATATCAATCATAAGATAGTAAATATTTCATAATGAAAAGTAGTATCAAAAGTGACTATATCTTAAGATATAGAATAGAAAATCTATTCTGGATCAATACAAATAATTTCCACTTACGTTCAACCACCAACTGGGCAATACACTGAGCTTCTCCAGCAGGATTCTCAGCCTTGACAGTGTATTTACCAGAATCTTCGTAAAATACTTCTGGTATATAGAGAGAATGGATGTCCCCCTCTTGGACAATCTCAAAATCTCTAGAACTGACAAGTTTTGATCCTTCACGCATCCACGTGACTTGTGGGGGTGGATGTCCAGATACTCGTACCGTCAGTTTAACAGGCTGACCTTCTGAGGCTTCATGTCTGCTCAGTTTCTCGGTGAACGATGGCGGTATCATGGAGGCTGCAAAATTTAATTCAAATATTTGAATGAGATAATAAATAAGTGAACCAGACAGCATTTAAAGATTCCTTCCCCGACAATTTGTTCATAACTATAGCCTTCAGATTCAACCAGTTCTCACTATAGGAATATTAACTATTTTCTACATCATACCCCTTGGGGCCGCTCGATTGATGAGCTCTGCCATCTTGGAGACAAGCAGAATGAATTTTCTGAAACAAGAGACTGGTTACAGAAAGACAAATTGTTCTCACCTCTGACTATGAGTTCAGCTGTACTAGAAGCAGAACCAGCAATATTCTCAGCTGTAGCAGTAAAATGGCCCTCATCTTCTTCAAATACTTCAGGTATAGTTAGAGTTACTCGCCCTTGTCGGTAGGTAATCTCAAAATCAGCTTGATCTGTGAGTTCTTTCCCCTCTCTGAACCATCTGATGCTTGGCTCAGGTTTACCTAAATATAATTTATAATAAATTGGAATGAGCAAATAAATCTCATATGTTTCTTAGAACATACCCATTTTTCATGTTTTACTGAATTTTACACAGAATGTCCTTTATATCAAAAAAGTCAAAATAAAAAATGAGTATATCCTTTTCTTAAATAATGTCAACAATTTTGATTCTTTACCTGTAACTACACCATCAAAGGTGACCCTGGTTCCTTCCATAGCTGTGATGTTCTTCAAGGCCTGGAGGAACTTGGGAGGTACTGGAACCTCGATAGTTAGATCCACAGGTTGATACTGTGGGGTAACATCAGTCAATAATGTTGTAGCAAATCTATCTACGGAGGATGATTTCCTGGCTCGTGGACTGACGTCTGTCAATATGGTAGTAGAGTGATGTTCTCCGTACATCTCGTCTGAGGAGGAGTAAATTCGACTAGTTCGTTTCTCAGTAACTGTTCTAGTTTCAGTTCTGAAAAAAAAAGACAATTTTAGTAACAAAAAAGTCAAAAAGAAATTTGAGAGGAAAAACATGCTAAACATCTACTTTAGAGAGTCCACATAGCTTATAAATTTATTTGAGTTTGTTCACTCAGAATCCCTTTCAAAGAGTCCTCATAGGTATTAATGAGAATTTAGATTTTTCATCTGCCCATCCATTTCAGGGACATGTGTTACCTTGGTATATTCGCTTTTTTCATCATGACATTCCTTTCAGAAAGTCCATATAACAAATAATGCTTTCTTACGTTTTGGATTTGTCAACATACCATCTATTTCAGAGAGTTCACATATGTGGTATTTTAATTTTTCAGCTTTCAGAAATTCAACAAATAAGTAAAGATTTTCCTCATTAGAAATACTTACACTTCTGAAGAAGATTCGTATCCACGGTAACCAACTGGATACTCTTCGTAAGATACATCAGCAGGTTGGGACGGTCTGATGATCAATGATTTTGGTGTGGTCTCATCGTCTCCTGGCCGTCTTGGTGGTTCAGCTCTTTTAGGAGCACGAAATGGAACCATCTGTTCATCAACTGGTTTAGGTTTATCTTCACCAGGAAATTTGCTGGGTGCTCCTTTTCTAACTGGAGCTTTTGAAGGAGTCATGACTTCGGTGACAGGTTCTGGAACTATAGGTCTCTCAGCTCGAGGAGTCTTTTGCTGTGTCATTGGTTCTGATACTGGCTCAACTTGGAGTAAAGCAGAGCAAGTGGCTTTACCGTGAGGATTCTCAGCATGGACGTCGTATCGTCCAGAATCCTGGGGTGTACTCTGTTGGATGGTAAGTTTATATCTATCTCCCTCAAAAGAGGTTTGGTAGGCCTGGTTCACCAGTGGTGCTCCATTGAAATGCCACTTAACCTGTTGATAAAATTCAGTAATAAATTTTCAGCCAAGAATTAACCAGGGACCAGCTGGTAGACATGATCCTTGAAAGCCAAGGAATCAACCCACTATTGCTGCAACTTTTAAACACAGACAAAAGGTATCTTAGGTTTTTATATAAGGAAAAGAGTCAGGCAATGCAATAAGTATCACTATTTCTTCCAAGTAGCTAGTTTTTATTTCTGTTTTACATAAAGAGAACCATAGACAGATCTCAAATTGAATTTGAAAATGTACTCAAAACGACAATCAAAATGGCTTATTTCAATTTGTGACTTCTGTAAACAGAATAATGAAATAGTACATATATTACAAAGCCTTTAAAATCAATTACAAGTCTTAAGGTTTTGTAAGGTTAAAAGAAGACTCATTAATCAAGTCTTACCTTTGGTCTTGGACTACCAGTTATGGTACACTCAAATGTAACAGGTTGTCCTTCTGCTACAGCTCTATCAGTGAACAATGTTTTAAATTCTGGGGGCAACATCTTCACTTGGCGTTTAATCACGGGTTGTTCTGGGGGTGATTTAACGCTCAGTTTGGCTTGACACTTAGCTTCACCAGCCACGTTGACAGCTCTGACGGAATAGACGCCAGTATCTTCTTCAAAAGCTTCAGGTATTGTGAGAGAATGTACATCAGCAAATGCTGTGATCTGCAAAAAAAATAAAAATAAAAAATAATTCCCATTGTCAAAAATTTTACATTCAAATGGCAAAAACAAAAATCATCCTAAGTAAATTTTGTGTGAAACTTGTCCATATTTCATAGTAAAACATCTTGTTCATCATAATTCAAATGAAAATAAACTGATGTCAACTCACCTGGAAGTCTGGAGAACTCTCCAATTGTCGTTCTTCACGGAACCATCTAACTTCTGGTAGAGGATGTCCGGTAACACGACACTGTAAACAGACTCGTTGTCCAGATTTCACCTGCATGTCTTTAAGAAGTTGGGAGAATTTAGGAGCAGTCAGCTCTCCGATTGAAGCATCACTCATTTCACTCACAGCTAGAAATAAACGAAATTAAATTCTGGATAAAAATATGTTAATTCCAACGAAGATATCCCAATTCACTAATAAATTTCTAGCAATAAACAGTTAATCAATGAAACATTGACCAAAGGTTACCAGAACCAGCCAGAAGATAGAAACCTTGGAAACCTTCGAAACAACCAATGTGCTACAACTTTTAACTGCAGACAAATATCAAGTATTCCACCAAACTGCAGCCAATGCATGAAGAAACTCCAGATATGTGGTGTGCAGTTTCCATAAAATTGCATTTTTTCATAATTTGCCAAATATAATAATGCCAAAATATTTCATCTGATAAACATCAAGTGCATTTAGAATCATATTTCCTCTTTCAGATCATAAAAGATAATACAATATTCTAGTCTAGATATATGCAATTCCTGCGTTTAGGTTACTTATTGTCTTGCCAGTCATGTTTGATTGTAGCTCTTAGATGCCTGGTTATATCAGGAAAAAATCAAAATCATCTCTAAAGCATAAAATCAATATCTTTTTCTCCTATTTAACTATAAACACTCACCTTCGACATGTAGTTTGCAGACGCTCTGAGCGTGACCGTGTGGGTTTCTAGCGACACACCGATATTCACCACTGTCTTCTATAAACACTTCCTGAATAACAATCGTACATCGATCTCCTTCAAATAATAACTGAATATCTTTAGATTCTTTTATTGGTTTTTCATTGTGGAACCATATCACCTGAAACAAAACAAACAAATTTTCTAAATTTCTGATAGCATCAATAGAGCTACTAATTCTTTCCATAGACAAGGTAATGCTTTGCTGACTGAAAGCATAGCTATTTCTATTACATGAAAAGATTTGCAACATTCAAACAGAGTAACTTGTTCGATGGACAATGAAAGATTAGTGGCAATACAACAGAGCAACTTGTCTATGAGGTAAACCCCTAAACAGAATGTTGCTTACTAAGATTAAGGCAGACATGAATTAAAACTGTTACTGACCTCTGGTTCAGGGTGTCCCACTATAATACAATCCAGTCGAATTCGAGTTCCCTCCATAGCTTCTTTAGTTGGTGGTAGAAGTTGCATAAATACTGGTGGTTGTTTGGGAACTTGTTGTTCTGGTTCAACGGAAACAACTTCCATATCCTCACTGAAATAGTAAAAGTGAACAGATTATTGACAATCTTATAGCACATTTATAAAATACAGATGAAAATACAGAATCTAGTTTGTCTTCTTTGAATATAAATAAACCTATATCTGAGAGGAAATGGACCATAGCTTATTTAAATCCCATTCTCCCAGATCATTATCAAAACAATTCTAGAATTTTTTATTTTGACTGACCAATCCAGCAATGCATATTTACCCCATTTCAAATGAAATCGTTACTGGATTTTCTTCTGAAAGATGCTATGAAAAGCTCAAATGGAGCTCTAACTTAGAACAAAGCTTAGAGCTTAGTCTAAGCTCTAACATGAAGAAATATCAACATCAATGTTAGTTTGGTTGGTTACTCATTTAATAATAAAACACCTACCCAGTACTAGAGATATAAGGTTCTACTATAATTTCACAAGATGACCTGTTCTCTCCTGCAGTGTTTCTAATAACCACTGTATATTTATCTTGATCTTCTGGCATCATTTCTCGTATATCTAACGCAGAGAAATTTATTTCTATTGTGATCTGAAATGAAGGATATCAGGAAATAAGCATCACATGAAGAAACCAAAAGCTGGTTTTGAACTTGGGAAAATTGGGGTACCAGTGAGCCCCACAGAGGAGACCTCATATGTAAACAGGAATTTGGTTTGGTATTTCTACATAACTATAACAGTAGACTTCAGCAATATAGGTCAGTTACATTGCAATTACGACGTTGTAAAACAACATTAGAGAACTTTTTCCTTCATATCTGCGGGGTCATCTTTTTAAGTCGGGAAGCTCAACATACCTTATACATATTATTATTGACCAATCTGTTACCACCACGATACCAAATAACTTCTGGGGGTGGTGATCCAGTAAACCTCGTCTCTAGTCGCACACCCTTACCCTCAGGGGTGGTGACATCTTGTAGAGGCTGGTGGAAAACAGGTGCTTGGAGAGCTGAAATAAAAATGCAACACATGATTTCACATTATGGAATAAGAGTCTTTATACTGTTTATATTTTAGTTGTTTAGACTTTAGTCTTTAAATTATATCAAATATCAAGAGCAGAAATCAACCATAAAGATTTCAGAAGTTTTTCAATGAACACAAAAATGGCTGCTGAATAACATCTTAAAAGGTTTAAACAAGATGAAAATCAGATGATCATACGTAAAGATATGTAACATATTTTAGAAGAACAACTTCTTAAGAAATAATATGAATGGGTATGCAGATGACCTGATGATCAAAGAGTAGACTTTAAGAACACCATGAAGTAGCTAGAGGAAGACATGCTGATGGTCAAAAAATGGACTGTGAGGAAGAACAACTGCCATATAATAGGAAATGAGCTAAATTCTATACGATCCAAGAAATTCCATTAATCAGTTACACTTTTGGTCAACATACAAGTTATCTAACACATGGAAAGGGGTTATTTTGATTATAGTGATAAACTGGACTATGATTATAGGGAAGATAAATGAAAAGGTATATACGTTTCTGATCAAATCAAGAAACAAAATCAATCATGCTGATTAATAAGTACAACGATGGATTGATCATGCTCTGTCCTGTTGGTAGACACAAGACACTAGAGCTGTCATGCTACACCAAGACTGAATATTACAACACCTCTAATAACTTATAAGGACTCTTCCAAACATGCAAATTTCTATCTGAATTACAACCTCAGATGAGTCCAATAATATCTCAAGGGGTGTTTGTCTCAATATATCCAGCCTCGTGCTACAGCCAATACAACAATAACATCATGCTCAGAGTCAGAATCGAGCTTACGTAGAACGTTCATCCTGGCTGAAGATGCAGCTTCCCCTCCTGGGTTGATCGCTCGGCAAGTATAACGAGCTGAATGATGTTGTTTGACTTGACGGATCTTTAGACAGCAAGATCCGTTTATTTTTGTGATGACAAAATCGGGAGAGTTGTCAATATTGAGTTCGTCTTTATACCACGATACAGTGGGTGATGGGATACCTTGAACGTGACATTCGAAGGCAAATGACGAGTTCTCGACTACGTCCACAGATTTCAGATTTCTCAGAAATTCGGGTGGAATAATCTGCTGGTGGGTCTCTGGAAACAAAATATAAATTTTTTTAAGAAAACTTTTATAGTAGGCTACTATAAGAAAATATTTTGAAAAAAGACTCTGTCTTTAACACATTGCTAACTAGACACAATATAGATTTACAGGTTGGTCTGGGTTGATTACAATTATCAAAAGATTTCACACAGTACCAAAAGATGACCAGGACCATGGGCAGTTTGACGTTTTTTCCATGGAACTCGTATAATTTTAGTCTTTTCATTGATTTTCTTACAATTGACAATAATGTTAGAAAAATAAGAAATGTACCTTTAACATTAAGTTGTGCTGAAGACTCTGCCATTCCAGCAGGATTAGTAACACGACACGTGTAACGTGCTGTATCTTCAGAGAACGTCTCTTCTATAGTTAAAGTAGCTACACCATTAGCAAATCTTGTCTCATAGTCGGGACTGGTAAGTGGCAGGTTGTCTTTACACCACTGAATCTGTGGTTTTACATCACTCTCAATACCACATTCAAATGTGAATCTGAAATCAAATAATACAAATGATAATAAACTGTAATAATGCTTAATCTGTTTCAATGGGTAAAAGTTCCCTCTATTACACCAAATTAACAAAATTATTATCAGCAATTTTAGTGCTTTTCAGTATTCAAACTCTTTTTTAATTTAACTATTTCACCAATTTAACACTAGCTCTACACTTGCATTGGACGATATTTTGTAAGCAAGGTATGTTCACACTATATAATCTGATATTGTACTTGTGAATGATATACAGATATAATTTCTCATTGTTCTTTTCAACAGACATACTTCTGAATATCATTTTTCAAAACAAAACAACGTTTTCTATTGTGAACGTAGTGTTCATATCTGACTTGAATTTCATATTTGAGCAGTATGATCTAGTAACGTTGGCATTTTTTCTGTATCTAACTCTATGGAATTCAGAAATTTTCTTTTATCAAATTTTCACATGTAATTTGACCAGAATTTGCACTTTGGAAATTATAATAAATCTCTTACCTCTCTCCTTCCATCACCTCAGCATTTTTAAGATGTTGTGTAATTCGGGGAGGTCTAATTCCAGGGGTAGGAGCTGCAGCTTTAGGAGCAGCTTGGCGTTGTACGCTCTCATCAACAGGTTTCTAAAAATAGATAACAAACAGCATGTGAAACTTGTAGAATATAGCAAATCTTATGTAAATTATTCAATATATATATAAATTGAAGCTTTTCAGAGGACCAGCTTCTAGACAGGATGTTTACAAGCCTAAACTGTTCTTCTTGTTTAATCATTGCCCACAGGTTTGCCAGAGAACTAAAGAACAGACACAATCATCCTTTGATGATAATCATCCTTGCAATACATGTATTAATGTTTTTTTTCCCACATTGGTATAAATCGTAGTTTATGATAGACTGTACCAACACTCCTTTCATTGATTGTCTAGAAAGGTCTTCAACCTCACCAAGATTCTATACCTGCTTAGATAAACTAGAATATAGCGCCACCTACCTTTCCCTGGAGTTTATCTTTTAATCCTGATATTTCATTATCAGCTTGTTCAAAGGATTGCATCAGGTCTTGATATTGTATGACGATATTTCGTACTTTACTCTGGCCCTGATCTCCTGTAATAATATAATATAATATAGTTTAATAGGTATAAGACAAAGTTTGTCATAGCTTGACATTGTGAATATGGTCTACATTTGGTCAACAACCAGCTCCTTTGCAGAATACTTGAAAACTGAAGTTGTTCTTTTTGTAAACACAATGATGTAGGAATATTTCTGTATCATTACCAATCAAGCAGTACGAAAGCTCGAACAATTTTTAAACCAAATAAAAAGTTTTTCAAATTTTCTACTTACCATGGAGTTGTACGCTCAGTTCTGCAATCTTGTTCAATCTTTCTTCTTGTTTTGGTTTTCCTTCTTTGACAAAATTTTCTATTTTCTGGATGAGATGATCAGCTTCTTGTGGTGAGCGACAGTTGGGAGCATCGCGTCCAACTTGAGACAGTAGCTGATTACCTTCCCTCATCCAGGATTCAGACTGAAACAACACCAGGATATAATTATTGATTAGATAATTGGCACAGAAAAGTCTCTAATGTTTCCATAAGCTTATTTTGATGCATTATGGCTAAGAATTATAATAATGATGATGATAGCAGATGACAGGAACTATCGTGTCCATAAGCTAATTTTGATGCATTATGGCCAAGCCAGGGGCAATGACCCACAAAAAAATTTCAATTCAAACAAGTTTTTGCTTAATCAAGAGATTTGTAATCTGTAGATTTAATGAAAGAAATAATGATAAACAATTTCAATTTACTTACTTCTTCATTTAGAGTAAAATACAGGATAGAGGCATTTAATTGTTGTCTGTAGTCTCGTACACTAGTATGGAATGTACTCCATTTATTTTTTAACACATCGATTTCTCGGCGAATATGGACAGAATCATAATGTTTGTCTTGGACCATCAGTTCCGCCGTACTGATGAAACTGTTAATCTTTTGTTCAATTAACTAAAAAAATAAATAGAAAAATAAGAACATAATGATATGATTAAGAATACATGACAATTCATTAGAAACACTAATTAATCAAATAGTTTGCTTAACTTGACTCTAAAAAATAAGGAAACCCATCTTTAGATTTATCAGACACAAAAATTTACAGTATCTAAATATTTTGAATGGCAGCAAACTGTTATAATCTTTTAATCATAACATTGTCAAATGATGCTAATAAAGGTATGAAACTACACCATAGCAGACTGCTGATACACGTTCCAGACATAAAATCCTCATCAGGACATGAGTTCCAAAAGAAGGTGTTCCACAAAGGTCAAGTGAAAATCAGTTATTTTCATAAAATTAAAGATTATAGCGATTCCACTCAAAAAACTTTGAGAGAATAACAATATAAACTAATGTAAAGTTACATTGAATCTATTGGTTATTGTCCAAATATTAAGGATAATAGCCTTTACAGAACTTTGAGGGAGTATTAGATAGCTAGACCATGAAAAAGAGAAATTACCTCAACAGTTATTTCAAACTGTTCATAGGCCTGTGATGTCATCTTGGCAGATGGTAATGAATTGCCGTAACTACCACGTCTGGCCTGTAGATGTTGGTGTAATCCATCAATCTCCGAATGTATCTACAACACCAATAAAAAAACGCAATATAGAAAACATGAAAAAGATAATATAATAACAATATAAATATATAATGACCAAATTGAATGTAACAAACACGACATGTCACACCCTTCCTCACATATTATCAAAATTCCATCAACAACTGATCAAAATCTGATCAAAATCTTCAAAAGTCCTTATAACAGTAAGTGGAAAATAAACAGGTAAAAGTAATATTACAATGTTGAATAAATGTGTTTAAATAAATTCTCAAGACCATTTTTAACATATCATTCACTACAACCAAAATATCCACAATAAAAATTCAAAGGTCAAAATTATACAATGGCGGACATCAATATCAACCTACTTTTCTACAAGAAGAGTGAGGATGTTGCTTAGCGATAGTGATAGGACATTTTGACTGTCAGTTCGTCCAAATCTCGTGCATATTTCATGTCATTTCGCATGAATGATAAAATGGACGTACCTGTCTGAGATCAAAGTTAAACTGACAGATTTGGAGATTTTGTTGGAGGCGTTTCTCCTGTTCCTCCCACATATAACCCCAGCGTTCTTTGTAATTCTCTGTTACGTCTAGGACACGCTGTACTTCGTCTTTAGCAGTGGCTTCAGCATCCTGAAAAAAATCACCACTCAAATGAATAATCTCACACTCTCACATAGAATAAATAAATCAAGTATTAACGAACCAAACCTCAAAACAAAACATGAAATCCAAAACAACATAACAGCAAAAAAATGGTATCAGGTGAAGCGTGAAGGAACATCCCTTCCAAAAGTGAGAAGAAGAACAGTCAACTCATGATAAAACTTGCAAATGTTTGTCACAAGTGACATGTTCAGAAGATGATAATAAAATAACCTGAACAATTTGTTCAATAAATTCATGGCAGTTATGAGAATGAAAAAAACAAGACCTAAGTTAACCATATCTTATAAACTCTTTCTCAAATTAAATGTTGAAAGATAAATTTGTAGTTACCTGCTGCCGTACCCTGCGTACTATTTTATCACCCTCTTCCGAAGTGAAATTAATCATCTGAGAAACTTCTTGTTTCTTGCGTTTGTGTTCTTCCAGCATCATTTCTGCGTTTGTGAGTTCGGATGGTAATTCTGCTTGCATGTATTCTTTCTCAGTGGCTTCTATGGCTTGATCCAACTGAAGAATTACCAAAAAATACAAATTATTAAGATTTGAAAATATGAAGGTATTTCACTTTAACTTAAAGTTAAAAAATATTTGTTATACAATGTAAATTGTCTGTTTTCCTTTGGAAAATACGGATTAGACTAAGATAACAACTCAATATACTGTTAATGATCATATGCAAATATATAGAATGTGGAGGACCAGATAGAAAATAATCTAATCTGTAATAAACAACTTCTAGGTCCATTTGAAAGATGAAGATATACTAGATAACTTATTTCAGCTTATTGCCAGTAAATATTTCAGATGTCTGAATTTTAATGTAAAAAGTCCGTAAGAGATGATCTCATTGAAATGGAAAATATCAGGGGATAATTTTTTATAGTTTTATTCATAAATGCAAAAAATACCATTGGCAAGAAAAATAGAAGAATTCCTGGCAATATAAACCCCTGTGTCTCACCTGATGCAAGTTCTTGAAGAAGCTGATGGTCATTTTGAGCAAAATCTGATACTCATTAATACGAGCTTGGAATCGTTGATGAACTTTGACCAGTTCATTAACAATCTGTTCCTTTTGACCATGGGTATCACCTTTTAATGACAGCATCTCAGCTGTCTTCAGATGTTCTTCAATTTCTTGTGTTGCTTTCTAGAAA